AGTGAAAAATAGCGAAAATAGTGGTTTTAATAAGTAATCCCACTACATAGCAAGGTTCAAGACTGTTTTCAAATGTAAATAAGAGTTTTATGCTCATAAGAATTCAAAAGATTGTTTCAGCCCTCCATAGATTCAAATTTGATGAAATGTAGAATGTGGAATGTGACGTATCGGTTGAAAAATATAAGACAAAACAATTGATTATGATGGAGTGGGTATATCAATTTAATAGTTGAAAAGGGCAATTCTAAACCGTCGAGAAGCTAATCCAGTCGGTGCCTGCTGGGTTATCAGATCCAGAATCAACGGCGTCAGTACCTGTCAATTTACGACAAATAAAATTTTAATCACTTTTCCTCAACAAATTCCGAGGCATTGTCAATTGTCAATGTCAATGCTGTTTCGGTTACAAAAGCAAAAAATAACGCTACATTTTTAGACTCGGAATCAACAAGATTACGTGCTGACACATTTTTTCCAACACAGAAATGTTTAGCAGATAAAATTTTATCCATAAAGACACAACAATTCAATGAAAATTATGTAGAATTGGTGTATAATTATGATGACAATCGGTTTAAAAAAGAGCAAACCCGAACCATACACCTAGGGTCATCAGATCTGTAATCACAACAGTGTTTACAGATAAAATTTTAGCTTTTATAAAACAAAAAGACCCCAAAACAAATTTAGTCCATGCTGACGATTAGTTGAAAAAGCGAAGAGACACGAGGTACCCAGGGTTATGAGGTTCAGAATCAATAGCATAGGTCAACTTAAAAAAAGTTAAACAAGGATTTTCAAGCAAATTTAACTCTAATTTGTGCGATGTAGTCTTCCTGATGATTCGGTGAAAAAAAGCGAAGCCTGCCGAACCATACATTGTCATCAGATCTTTTTTATAATCCTCACATATTTTATCACACAGAATTTCCGTGATCAAACCACGGAAATTCGTAATTGAATGAGGTCAATTTTTTCCCTGCAAAAATTTTAACAGACCGAATTTTAGATATCAAGCACTCAAATCAGTAGGAATTTTAGTGCGAATTGCTCGGTTTAAAAAAGCAAAAGCTGTCAACGAACACTGGGTTACCATATCCTTAATCGATGCACCTAGCTAACATTTCCTTGTTTATTATCAATTCCTATAAAAAATAATCACTAAGAAAACTTCTTGTCTTTGCGAAAAAAGCGAAGCCAAACGAGCCACGTAGGGTTATCAGAATAGATTGCATTCCTAATTGACAAGATTTTTATTCTTAGCCCGCAAAAATTTTTAGCTATGAAGACACCCGAATTACCAAGAAAACTTCGTAAGAATTTGAGTAATACCGTCACGGTGATATTTTGGTAGAAAAAAAAACAACAAAACCAAACGAGACACCCACAGTTGAAAAAATCAAAAACTATCGACAAACGCCAGATTATCAGATATTTAAACTATGCTGTTCCTAGGTGATAATTATTTTCTATTATCAATTGATATAAAAGACAATCATTTAGAACATTTATTTGGGTTGTGAACTATCGCTATGCTGATCTTTCGGTTAAAAAAGCAAAGCCAGACGAGACACGCTGGGTCATGAGATCTGTACTAGACAGCATTCCTAGCTGATATTTTTCCAATAGATAAAACGTGTGGTGATTAGTGACCGTTAATCGATAATTATTCAGAAATCGTGAATAATCGCGGTCTGGTGTGATGTAGGTTTCAGAAAAACATTTCCTTTATCGTGCCAACGTTTCGATCTTTACTGAGATCATCTTCAGGGCTCAAAGAGTGCCCCCTCAACACGACACGCAAGACTGGCACAATTACACAAAGCACACGTGTTAGCAATCCACAAAAACGTCCAAGGAAATTTAATTGGTGTTTTTAGACCATCGTCATATTAATGCTATGGTTGAAAAAAGCTGCCAGAAGAACGACGATTTGTCGTTAATTAATAATTAATTCATTCCGACCAAATTTTTATGATCAAACGTCAAAAATATCCATGGAAATTTAGCTAAAGCATCGCCAAACGAGACATCAAGTGGTCAATTAAATGGACAACAATCCTAGTTAATACGATTTTTTTCCTACCAACATAAATACACAGCAGACAAAATTTTAGCTATCAAACCACGTCTCCAAGCAAATTGGAATTTATAGCTTTCTTAGTTGAACAATTTTTGTCAATGCACAAAAAAGTTTTAACAACTTTTGTAAATATTCCTAAAAACTTAGTTTCTATTTTAGTACTATCACATACGGACGCCTATGTTTTAGTTGAAAAAAAGCGAAGCCAAACGAGCCTGCAGGGTTATCAGAATCGATAGCATTCCTAGTTGACAAGAGTTTTTCCTAACCGACAATAATGTCTAATAAACAAAATTTTAGATATCAATCCATCAAAATTCCCAAGAAATTCTAGTAACAATTTGGATAATATAATCACGCTGATGTTTTGGTTGAAAAAAAGCGAAGCCAAACGAGCCTGCAGGGTTATCAGAATCGATAGCAATCCTAGTAGACAAGAGTTTTTCCTAACCGACAATAATGTCTAATAAACAAAATTTTAGATATCAATCCATCAAAATTCCCAAGAAATTCTAGTAAAAATTTGGATAATATAATCACGCTGATGTTTTGGTTGAAAAAAAGCGAAGCCAAACGAGCCTGCAGGGTTATCAGAATCGATAGCAATCCTAGTAGACAAGAGTTTTTCCTAACCGACAATAATGTCTAATAAACAAAATTTTAGATATCAATCCATCAAAATTCCCAAGAAATTCTAGTAAAAATTTGGATAATATAATCACGCTGATGTTTTGGTTGAAAAAAAGCGAAGCTAAACGAGATAACCATAGTTATCAGATTAATGCTATTATTGCACGGTTGTTACTTTGGTTGCTATTTTAATTAAGCATTCCTAGGTGACACATTTTGTTTAATCAACCTACGAAACATGTACAATAGCATCTCCAAGGTGATTCAGCTGTAATTTGTGCACTGTCGCCTGGCTGAGCTTCCGTGGAAAAAAAATTGAAAACAAAACTTGTTTCAATCGACAAAAATTAATTCAGGAATCTTTAGCGACCATTTTAGGTAGAAATTACGTAATTTCGTTATACTGAAACTTAGGCGGACAAACGCTGGATTATCAGATCTTTAAACAATGCTATTCCAAGCTGGCAATTTTTTTCTAGTACCGATTCATATAAAAATAATAATTACTAGGATAATTTAATGGGCTAGTGAATTATCGCCGTACTGATGTTTCGGTAGAAAAAAACCAAAGCCAGACGAGACAGGTTGGGTTATCAGATCTGGTATCGAGAGCATTCCTAGCCGATAATATTTTTCCAACAGATAAAAATTTGTCTGGCAAAATTTATGTTAGAGATCCACAAAATTTCAAATTTCAAATTTAGTCGGAATTTCTGCACTATCGTCATGCTAATGCTACTTGTTGAATAAAAGCTGCCAGACGAACCACGAAGGGTTGTCACATCCGGAATTTATAGCACTTCTAGCTCAAAAAAATGTTTTTTAAATTATCAAACCAGAAATATACCCTTAGAAATTTAGTTAACGCGAATCCAGACACTCTTTTCCATCCAAAAAATGTTGCCTGGTATAACATTTTAAGTGACTAGTACACAATAATGTCCAGAAACGTGTTGTGGAGTTTGTGCAATTCGGTTGAAAAAAAGGCTGCCAGAGGAGCAGTGGTGGGTTATCACATGATGGAATTTATAGTATTTCTATCTATAAAATTTCATTCCAACCAAAACAAACTTACTATAAAACCAAAAAAATACCCATGAAAATGAAGTTATGCGAAACCAGACGAGACTTGCCGAATCATAAAATCTGGACTAGATAGCATTCCTAGATGACAATATTTTTTTCCAACCAATAAAATTTTTTAATGATATAATCTAGCTTCCAAGGAAATTCAGCAGTGTAAACCGGATAATATCGCCTTGCTGATCCTTTTGAATGAAGCGAGACAAAACGAGACACACTGGGTCGTTAGATCTGAACTAGATAGCACGCCTAGCTGAAATATTTTTTTCCAACCAACAAATATTTTTGCTAACATAATCCAAAAAAACTTCCGAGAAAATTCAGTAGTGTACTTCCGCATATTATTGCCTTGTTGATGCTTCGGTCGAATGAAGCTAAGCCAGACGAGACACGCTTGCTCGTCGTTTCAGGAATTAATGCTATTCCTAGCTGATAAATTTGTCTCAATCTACAAAATTGTACGAGGATTTTTCGACTATCATTATTGGGATGACCAGTCGACCGATGCTGAGGCGGGGTCATCATATCTAGGGATCGATAAGAAAGATGACAAACTTTTTTATCAACACACAAAAAATAATAAATGAAAATAAACGAATCTCAAAGTAAGTTTTTTTAAAAATAATTTGTGTACTATCGTTATATCGTAAGAAGTCACTTGAAGACTAATTTTAATAATTAGTATTTAAGAATGTCTATTATTATTAGTAGTCTATTTTTATTTTGTAGAACTTTAACAATTTATAGGTCTAATAAATTATTTTTCATTAATTTTTTTAAATTAATTACTTCTGCAAACACTGGTGAAAATGTGCACATGGTCCATCTGTGTACTTGAAACTTATTTTATAATTCACGACTGTATTTATTAGTAAATATTAATTAAATTTCTGGTGAGGCATATTTTAAATTTGCATATTTAAAAACGTAAAAAAATATTTCCAAAAAAGTATATCTACTTATGTTTTGGGATGTGAGTGTATTTATTAGCTAGAAGGAAACGCCGGTTGTAAAGATACGATGTGTCATTCGTAAATGAGTCAAATAAATTTCCTATTAAAAAGTTTGCATCCTTAAAATATAGTTAAAAGATCCTTTCTTTTTTTGTATAAAAAAAAGGCTTAATGAAATCGACCTTGATGCCCAAGGCCACGGAAAGGGACCATAGAATATTGATGAATGATGAATGATGATTACTCACGGTTTGTCAGGCTGTGCACGGCGAGCTCTGGCCTCCTGGGTTTGAATTTCTTCAGCCCGGGTCACACTTTTGGTGCGGCGGAGTCGCAGACCTTCAGAGTCGACTGACATGTTTAAAGGACGTCCTGCGAGAAGAGTTCAAGGGATGTCGTACGAGGTCCGTCCTCCGTCCGATAGGATAAATGGATAAATCTCGTCTACTCATGGGCGTCGACCACGTGTTTTTCCGATAATTTTGTTTGATAATAGGTCATGAGTACAAACTTCGACGGGAGACCCCTCTCTTTTCATAATTCCCAGTCCCCCACTACAGTTTACTGTTTGTTACTGTGCCTTTCACAGATGTTGCGCCATCTCTCAATTATAAGAATCACCGTCGTAGTCGGCACAGCTGCCACCAGATAGAAGGATCCGTCGGTCAGACGTCTCCCTCAAACTTCTTATGAAATATGAAGTCTTCTAACGTCAAACTAGTAAAATCGGGTTGCAGTTATTAAGAATATAGTCTATTTTAATTTCTTTTTACAAACTTTATTTGCATTACATTTCATCAGAGTTTTTCGTAATTTAATTGGTCTATACACGTTGTATCAACTTCTGTATTCCACCCATTTAATTCGGAAACGATTAACTTTAGCAAAAAATGGTCTTATGCAATCCCCAAGTTAATTTTGGCTAGGAATCGCGTGGGGTAATAGATTTAACATAACTTTCTCTTCTAGCAGGGAAATGATAATAACTTTGTGTGGTGATTAGTGACCGTTAATCGATATTTATTTAGAAATCGTGAGATACGGTCTGGTATGATGTAGGTTTCAGAAAAACATTTTCTTTATCGTGCCAACGTTTCGATCTTTATTGAGATCATCTTCAGGGCCTGGGATTTAAACATTGTTTACATATTACAATTACATTTTGGATGTGGAAAAGTGAATTTATACAATGCAAAATATATTTTATATATTCAATCAAAGTATTTCTACTCACTCAAAGTGTTTGTCTTCTGTGTAATTGTGTCATTCTTGCGTGTCGTGTCGAGAGTGCCAGTGTGATTTTGCTATTTTGTGTTTATATACGTTGGATTTTGAAGGGGTGGGGGAGGATGTCGGTATAGAAAAGACATTTTTGTATAAGGCGTCGGCTTCTTTGAGGTTAAAGGAGCCGACGAAGGGAAAAAAATGTGTTGGTGATGGTTCGGCCAGATTATCCTTTCAGGATTATATAGAAAGGGGTAAATAGGAAAAGGAAAGCTGAATTGTTGGAAAATTAGACTATGTGAAAAATATTTGATGTGTAGAATGTAATGTGATGATATAGGTATGTTATCTGCATTGAATGTGATTAATGATATTGGCGTAGCTGCGACTGAGTTTGCATGTATCTGTTCTGTAATTGATGCTGTGTTTATCTCGGTTGTTATAAACCAGGGGTGCTCAAACGGTCGATCGCGATCGACCAGTCGATCGCGAGTGCTTTTTGAGTAGATCTCGAGAAGAAAAAAATTTTTAATAAGTGGGTAGGTAACTAAACTACAAAAATGTATTACGTAATAAAATAACACTGCTTGCGGCAAAAGGTGGCTTTATCAAAGGAACGCGCGGCACTTGTCAAAGAAAAGCCGCGTTGTTTCTAGACTAGTAGACAGTACACTGTAAATTGCAACTTATGATAGATCAACTGAAAAGAAAGGATCTGAAACATTTTCCGTCTTTGAAAGCAAGGATTCCTCAGTTGAATTATGATACGTATGAGGCTGAATTATCAAATATTTTGGGACAATTCGAAATGCGTTTTTATGATTGCAGTAAATTGGAAAATATAGCATCATTTATGAGTTATCCTTTTTCATGTAAAAACATTGAGGAATTAGCTACTGAAATAGCAAGTCAGTTTAATATGAACTCATGTTCTGTTGAAAATGAGTTGGTGCAGATTATATCAGATATACATCTCAAAGCTACAGCATCTGATACAAATTTCTGGTGTTTTATATCTGAAGATAAATATCCGAATGTAAGGCAATTCGCCCTTCAACTGACGGCATTTTTTGGGTCAACTTACTTGTGCGAGTCTGCATTTTCTGAAATGAAGATAATTAAGTCAAAATATCGCAATCGACTAACTGACGATCATATGTCATCATGCTTGCGATTAGCACTCAGTGGTTACGTACCATCTTATGAAAAGTATGCTGAGGACATGCAGTGCCACGCTTCAACATCCAAAGCCACTCCTTAGTTAAGTTTAACACCATATGTAACTCTTTTGTTTTGTAACAACCAATAAACTCGCAATTTTGAATAACTATGAGTTTTTTCATTGATATTGTAGAGAAGAGCCTAACTAAACCTAACCCAAACCTTGACTAAAATAATGTACCTATATTGTGCAGAAAGCTAATATCTATATATGCTACGGTACACCCTACCTAGGTAGGTAGGGTGTATCGTGTATGTACGACAACCCTGCATCACACACACTTGCAGCCTCTCAGAGTCGATCGTAAGTAGTCTAAAAATATTGAGGTAGATCGCCAGCAGTTCAAGTTTGAGCACCCCTGTTATAAACCATTTCTAAGAAATTACGTTTATATTTGTTTTTTTCTGTATGTAATATTTTTGGATTTTTGAAGTCGAAATTGTGTTGGTGTTCAAAATGGTGGGTAGCGAGTGCTGTAGGATTTTGCTTGGGTTTTTTTGCAATCATAGATATGTTGCTTTACTCTCTTGTCCAGATATTGGGATGTAAGACCGATGTAAGTTGCCGGACAGTTTGAACAGTTGATCATGTAGATTACGTCAGATTTATTTGTTATTGGTGTGGGAACGTTGGCACGATAAAGAAAATGTTTTTCTGAAACCTACATCACACCAGACCGCATCTCACGATTTCTAAATAGATAATAACTTTGTTATTTTAAATGAGAATCTCATATTTTTATTGTACAATTCGTTTCAATAGCTTATTTTTATGGCACTTTTACGGAAGGGAAATTTTGATCGACCGTTTATGAGCTATGCCCGACGGAAGACACGTGGGGAGTATGCTTTTTGTATCAAAATGGGCTCCCCAAATAACTGGTCTTAAAAAACCATTAGCATTAGCAAAAACTGGTCTTACACAAACCCCAAGTTAATTCTCGCTAGGAATTGCGTGGTGGTAACAGATTTAACATAACTTTCTCATATAGTTGGCATCCGTCGGGCATAACTAAAAGAACTAGAAGGAAACTTCTAGAAATGCTAGAAGAGAAATTTATATTAAATCGATTACTACCATACGGTTCCTATCCAAAATGGTTAGGGAAAAAATATAAGTACAAAAGAGTGAAGCACATTTTGCTGTAAATTGACTATATAACGTAAAGGTTTTTTTAAAATTTTTATTTTTTTCCCTCTGTGTTAATATTGAGATAAGTTTAAATTAGTTCTTTTTTTACTTCAGATCAGGTATATAGGCAGGAAGCCTGAAGTCAGTCTTTTAATTTATTTGTAAATTCTGTATATATTTTGTAAATAAAAATAAATTTCAAATTTCTATCCAAACTTAACTTGGGGTTTGTATAAGACCATTTTTCGCTAAAGGTAATCGTTTTCGAAATAAACTGGAAGAGCCATCTTGTTACAAAAAACATACCCCCTCAAGCGTCTTCCGACGGCATAACTCAGAAATGGTCGATCCTTTAAAAATTTTCCTTTCAGTAAAAGTGGAATAAAATAAGCTCTATAACCGAATTGTACAATAAAGGTTTGGGATTGTTTTTAAAATAACAAATTTAGTGTCATTTTGTAGCTAGAGGAGAAAGTTATGTTAAATCTGTTACCACCACGTGATTCCTAGCCAAAATTAGCTTGGGGTTTGTATAAGACCATTTTTTGCTGAAGTTAATCGTTTCCGAATTATGGGTCGACTATAGAACTTGATACACCCTGTATAATAATACTAACATGTACATCTATAAAAAGTAGCAAGTTTACGGGCCGACAAACAGCTGAGGACACCGCGGCCGTCTGGATGTTTTTCTTCTTTTTTGATCTTTCACGCGGATTTTGCTTTAAACGTGTTTTTTTGGATTCGAGGTCGAATAATAAAAAAAAGCATATAATTATTAAACTCATTTGTTATTCTTCCATTACAACCAGCTTTCCATAGCTATATGTACTTGTGCTGGATAACATAAGTTATAAAATTAACAATAGCAAAATGGTCATAACCTTATGTTTATCCTCAAATTCACTCGGTTGAGATAGGATGTTGATGTCCGAGTAGATCGAGGTCACGATAGCTCAAGTGGTAGAGCAGTGGCGTATCGAGCCGAATATCGTGGGTTCGAATCCCGCTCGTGCCATTAACTTTTTTTCATCTCAACTAAAAACCTTAATTAATTGTAATGTATTAATTGGTCAAGCGAACCACGAAATTAGTGAATTTAATGAATTAAATGAAGTACACTTCACTAAAGCTCTCCGAGGCCAATTCATTTGTCGTCGAGAATCCAATCCGATTACACGACATTTGAAAAATGGAAAAAAGGAGGGAAAACTTATAAGGTGGGGTTGAGATAGGAAGTTGATGTCCGAGTGGATCAAGGTCACGATAGCAGAAGTGGTAGAACAGCGGTGTATCTAGCCGAAGATCGTGGGTTCGAATCCCGTTCGTGCCATTAACTTTTTTTCATCTCAACCAAAAAACTTAATTAATTCTTATGTTTATCCTCAAATTTCTGCTTCCCATTTCACTTGTTAAAACTCAGTGGCACTCGTGAGTAAGTGACCAGATCACGTCCTGCGGTGCAGGAGGCGTCCGTTTTCAAAATGTTCCGTTTTCATCTTCTTCGATTGGGAATTTTTAATTTCTCTTTACAATTAGAGAAAAGATTTCAGCCTCCTGCACCGTGAAGGCAGATAGTGGAACCCGATATTCCTGTTAATAATTGTTAAATTTTATTATACGTTACTGAGGAGGATGAGACTTGAAAATGCTTTGAAATACATTTATGTGAACAAAAAGTATGTATAACAACGATGAAAAAACTTAACAATCTCATCCAAAACGCATGAAGTCTAATTAAGATTAAATCAAACTTATTTTTAAAATTTAATACCATCAAATTACAGATGGCACAAAAGGACCTCCAAGTATTCAATGGAAATCGTTAAAAGTTGTATAGTATATTGATTGATTGAAATACTTTTATTTTAAAAAAGGCAACATATACAAATTACATTTTAAGAGGAATATAAAATATAATGGTAGGGATAAAAACATGTGCTCT